AAATTTAAAATTTATATCTCACATTTAATTAATTCCTTAAATACGGATTCGGGAGAGGCGACCGCCCCTTCGACCCCCCTAAAATACGCCCATGAGGCATCCCAGGGGCGCAATTTCAACTTTTGAAAGGATGGGGCAACTGTTTAAATTTTCCGACGTCATAATATTTACAATATTATGGTTACCTACACATTTAAATATTTATGAACCATAGACTACCAAAAAAATATTTTTTCGGAACAAAACATGTAAGGATTAGTAATGAACAGGGCTCGGAACTTATAGCACTTATAATCATTAAAATAAGCGCTTAAAACATCATTATAAGCACTAAAATAAGCATTTGAAAAATTTAAAAATAAGCAAAAATATTTAAACAAAAAAAATAAAAATTATAAAATTCTAACTAAAAAATCAAACAAAATAAAAATAAATTTTCACTTTCAAGACTTTAAGGATTTTATGGATTTTCTAAAGGATTTTTCTAAAAAAATAAAACGTGAACTCTCTGTTCTTGATCATTCTGACGTTTGACACTTGGTTTTATTAACAGCGTTGGAACCAGTGGCGGATTTAAGTGTAAAATATTGGTCGGCAAACTGATACGAAAGGCCCCGATCTTGAGGACTTTAACTGTTAAATTTTAACTTTTATTCATTGACACACTAGGAGGGCTAGGGGCAGAGGGCTTAAAACCATAATAAGTTCCTCCGAATATATGTAAAATGTTTATGTATCTGATAAAAATAGACTCTCACAATAATATATTTTTTAGCCCCCAATTTTTTTACTAAATGCTGAGGCGCTAGTATCTTTATGTAAGTAATATATTTTTGATATGCACAAGAATCGAAAAAAAACACAAATTCATAAATTATTTTTTTTAATCTAATTGATCATAAATATAATATATAAAAAATAAGTTTATATACATGTTTAATACAATATTTTAGTATTTTTATATTTATATAATAAAAGTTTTTCCATATATAATAAGTAAACAACACTAAAAAAAATCTGTTCTTTTATTTTTTGATTTTTATAACAATCGCGATCCTCGCGATAATTTCATCCATATTCAGATTAAGTGCATCGTAATACTCTATGCAGAGAAAAGCTAAATAACTCGTACGGTTTTTTATCATGGTTTACCGTAAATAGTTTTTCAATCTTCGTAGCACACTCATTGCACGTTCAGCACTTCCGATTGGTAATGTCTAGGCTTAGGGACTTCTAGAATTTGCATACTTTTTTTAATTATTGTTAAATATAGCAGAGTGCGAAATAAATTCGTTTCTCGGTGCCATGATATCAGATCTAAAATTTGAATGTGTATATTTTTGCAAATTTGATAAATTTTTCAGTAGGATGTATATTTTAAAATTGTTATGCTTATTTTGCATATTTTGATAATTTTTTCAAATTTTATTATTATTATTATTAAAATTAAAAACTATTGATATCATTTATACATATTACGTCGATTCATATGTAAAACCAGTGGCGTATTTACGGGGGGGGGGGGGGGTCCCGGGTCTCGACCCCCCACAGAAAAAAATTTAAAAAGCCAAAAAAACTTGGTACGTAGGTACCGAGAAAGAGAATATTAATTTTATATTATGGGTTTTTACTTTGGTTTAACTTTTGGTTATTTTTGTCGCGTCGTCGCCATCCGACGACGACAATTACGATGAAAACGAGTCCATTTGGTAGGTATTAATTTAAAAATTAGGTAAAATAGTAAAATGTACAATTAATATTCTTTCTCTTGCGAGAAAAGGAATAAGTTAGTATAAATAATTTGCGATACTTACCTACATAAAAATGTATGAAAATACATTAAAACAAAATTTCATATTTTAACTTGTGTGTGTTTGGTCAATTGTTATTAAGAAATGTAATTTATGCGAAAATTATTGTAGTAAATTTTGTTTATGCAGTAAAAATATCGGGCGGTAAAGTTAACGCCCGTATGTTGCTGGCATTATATTAATGATATCTTACATCAATTTAAGTCAGGGGTGTATTTAGAAATGTCTTATTGGGGGGGGGGGGACACAAACAAAAAGTTCAAAGTATACATAGTTATAACTTTTCCATCTCAAAAAACTATCGTTATTCATAACCAAATAATCAAAATACAATTGTTTGATAGAAACACTACATTTTATTACACAAATTTATAATAAAACATATTTTTAAATATAATTTTTGTAATTAAAATAACTGAAGACGTCTGGGGTGTTTATTAGCATATCCATCAACTACTTCTTCAGGTTTTATAATTATTTCAGGGTGTATATTAAGCAATACTAATCCGTTTAATCGATGATATGATATTATCATAATGTATTGATATTCCAGTATTTCACCGTGTGCCCATGCGTGAAAAATAAGAGGGCCTACAATAATAAATCAAGTATAAAATACGGTGAATGGGGGGGATACCAGGGGCGTCATTTCAACTTTTCGATAGGGATGCAAACATTTGAATCAGACCAATTGTTCCCTCCACCAGGCCATTTATATATCCTGTTTATTTAGCGGAACTTAAAAAAATTCTTCAATACTTCAATAGGACAATAGGTTCTTATGAAAAACTCGCACCATTACAGCGCGTTTGCATCTTACATTTTATCGACGACGGCGCAATTATAACATTTTATACGGGCCAACCAAACATTTAAAAAAATAGGGCTGCCAATGTATAGTCTGAATCCCCCAAATGACGCCCCTGAGGGATACGGGCCCCATGGGCCCACCCTTTAAATACGCCCTTGATTTAAGTAATAGGTAAAAAATAAATTAGCTGCACAGATACAGCTGTTGGCTAATAAATAAAATTGTTATACTAACCAAATACAAATCGACAAACACCAATCACCATAAAACAAATAATAAATAAAGAACAATAATTTTTTCTTTTGATTTTTTTTTTCTGGAAATAAAAGTATAGTAATTTATTTGAATTCTATAAAACAATTGCCTAATTTATTTTGAGGGCTATGGGAATTATTTGGGGTGGGGCTACGCCCCTCTAGTTGCGCTTATGCGTGATTCACTGAAATATTAATGGATAAGTTGATTTGTCATATAAGTTTAATTGGTTTAGAGGTGATACAGAATTATATATTTGTTGTATATACTAATTAAATAGGTAGACATTACTTATCTTATTATTACCGTCAAATGGTGTTACTTGGGGCACTATAAAATTATGATTGTAGGTAACTTAAAAACTATTTAAGTTAGGGAATTTCATGTGATTACAAAAAATCTGGGTCTTACTTTGTTTTATGAAAATATTATTGATTTGAGTTTTTCCTTAAACTCCTATATATTTATTTTTTTATTTTTTATGCTTGTCCCAAGTTGTACCATATAAGTTTAACTTGGGGCAAACATATAATTGTCATACAAAAACCAAGTTTCCTTTACTAAGACTTATTTGGGGCAAAAAAATAATATTTTTAAAAGATTCCTTGAATTTTTTTAAATAAGAAAAACATTTTGCATTTATTTTTGAAACAATGTACACTAATTAAAAAGAAATTTAAAAAAAAACAATTGAATTATAGATTTATATATTTCACATTAATTATATTTTTATAGTTGAAAACAAAACAATATTTATACAAATTAAAAACCCTAGGTATGTAGGTAATACATTATGACTTATGTTATATCAGTCTACTATTAAATCAGAATACGTATTTTAACAATGAGAATAGCAATACATAATCAGTCTTGATTTTATAATATTTTCAGATGTAATTCCCATTAACAACATTTTTAAAATTTTAAATTTCACATAAATTATGAGAAATGTCATGTGAAATTAATGGAAATCCCCATTTACTAGCTACAATAAGACCTTTGACTAAATCCTGTTCTTCGTCATAGTTCAAAACACAGGGTCTTCCAACTGGTGATAAATTTTGATCATGGCATTTGCGGTGAATTGTGGATTTAGAAATGCCAAACTCTTCAGATGCTTAACGTTCAGTCAATTTATGAGATTTTACAAGAAGTACTGCTCTTTGAAGTGTTTCTTCATTATATGTTTTGTATGGTCTTGCTCCAATTTTCTTTTTTTGTCCAACTATTTCTTTAAAAGAAAAATTATAATACATTATTTTATAAAAAAAAAAAAAAAAAATCAATAAGTAGATAACTTAATATAATCAAGTCAACCATATTATATTATACCTATATAATTAAAATTAAACACTAGTAAAAACAAATAGGTAAAGATGTATTTTAAACTAATTTTACTAGGTATGTACAATCTACTAAGTTTTATTCTTGTGTAACATGGACCACCTTGCCCCAACTTACACATACATCACTAAAACTTAAATAACTTAATAAATATTATACTTATAAATGTAATAAATAGTAAAATATAACAATTACATAAATTGGAAACTTATTTTTATTTATCACATCACTCAAAAAATACTTTTTCTTGTTTATACAATACTATTAAGGTATGTCAAATGCTTAACAAATTACACTTACTTTATTATACATATTAAATATACTTACTAATAATTTCTGATCTTCAATTTAAGTTCTTTCTGAAGAAAAATTTTCAAAAGAAATATTGAAAATAGTGCGATAACGCTATAACTTGATACCATGGCCTTATGGCGCGAAAAATAAAAACATATAATTTTGGTCCAAGTTGTACCGCTGCCCTAAGTATAACCATTTGACGGTACTTATTTTTTAGGGTGGACGGTGTAAATGTATTAAATGTGAATCAAGAAAAATGAAGTTCAAGTCACCACTGTGCTCCACAGTAGATAATATTGTAGATTGATAATATTAAATCATACATGGGCCACTCATTTATTATACGTGTTAGGGGTTACTTCTTTATCAAAACTTAATAAAATACAAATTCAACGAGAGCTATCTTCACAGATATGTATATTAAATTATTCTTATCTTGCGGTATCAATACTTCTCAACAATCACAAAACAGAACTGAATTAATTGATGAATTACTTATATAATTATATTTTTGTGTAATAAATTATCATATTTTTCTATGATATTAGATCATATTCGCTTGTTATTTGAATTTTCTGTTGATTATGGCGGATTCCGGAGAAAGATTTAAAAGAAAACAATTTGGTAACAGATTTTTAAAAAACGAAGATGATGTTTTTAAACATAATGCATGGTAATAATGAATTTTTTAGTCTAAAACCTAATTTTTGTTATGTAGAATTAAGGATAATATTTTTTGCCTAGGGATAATGTAGAATGGGATGAGGATCAAGAAAATCAAGCCTTGTCACAAGTATGTGAACATGTCAAAACAAAAATGACATTAGAAAAATCCATTGATTTAGAAAATAATGCTGATCAACATTGGGATAATTTTTACTCAGTTCACCAAGAAAAGTATGTGTTATTTTTGTAGTACCATAATTTATAAAACAAATATTATTTTTTTAACCAATTTTAAATTTTAGAATTAACTTTACTAGTTTGAAATGTTTAATTTTGTGATAAAATTTTTTTATTATAATTTTTTTGAGTATAAAACTAACTAATTTATTGAAACAAAAATCTATTAAGTGTTATATGAGATAAAAATAATGTTTTATTGAATTATTTAGAATTATTGTCACTATAATTAACTTTAGTTTTTGAATTTTTCTCGTATCATTTTTAACTATATATCACCAAATTAATTAATATTCATTATGTATTTACCAAAATTTTTATTTGATTTTTTTATTCAATTTTTGTTTCTCAACTTATGATAATTTACTTACTTAAAATTGACTGTAATTTAACAATCTCTTAATAATAATACGTTTTTATTCATATATGTAAAATAACTGAATTGGTCCAATGTGTATTTTAGTATTTGTACTGCTGAAGCAAGTACAATGTGTTCTTAAAAATTTAATTAATGGATTGATTTTATACATTTATTTTATATTATTAAATGTTTTATTTACAGATTTTTTAAAAATAGATGTTGGTTGTTTACCGAATTTCCTGAAATAAAATCATTAAAAGATGAAAAATCAAGCTGTATACTAGAAGTAGGCTGTGGTGTTGGAAATTCAGTCTTTCCTATATTGTCTCATTGTTCTGGTACAAATGTTCATGTTTATTGTTGTGATTTTTCTTCAAATGCTATTAAAATATTAAAAGAAAATTCTGAATATAATGAAGAACATTGTACGGCATTTGTATGTGATATAACTAATGATGACTGGAATCCACCATTTGCCTTAGAGAGTTTGGATATTATTTTATTAGTTTTTGTTCTTTCTGCTGTGAAACCCGAAAAGTATAATATATAGTAATTTAAAAATATACATTATTCTAAATTAATCATGTTACAGATTGAAACATGTTGTACGTAAGTTTTATGAATATTTGAAACCTGGTGGCATAATATTGTTCCGTGATTATGGTAGATATGACATGGCACAGCTTAGATTTAAAGAAGGAAGGTGCATATCAGAGAATTATTATAGTAGAGGTGATGGAACATTAGTCTACTTCTTTACCCAAGGTAAATTTTTTTAGATATACCATTTATTTGGTTAATAGTTTTAATTTTAATATTGTCTTGTTTAATTATGTCTCTCATTAAATAACTAATATTTCTTATTAGATTAAATTATCAATCTAAGCATACAGTTTGTAATATGAACATAGTATACTGTTTCTGAAGTTATAAAATTTATTAAAGCCAATTCAATTTCATTAAAAAATATCAAATTAAGATTGTGCCATCAATTTTTAATTATGTTTTTTTTCCTCAAAATATTTTATTTTAAATGAATAATTTAGTTTAGTTAATAATTGATTATTTAAATAGTTATAATATTATTTGTTTACCTATATTATCTATCTTATAGTAATATGTTATGCAGTAATCTAATTTAAATTTTTCCTTAGACGATTTAAAAAATTTATTTGTTGATGCCGGCTTTGAAGAAGTTCAAAATTTAATTGATCGTCGTATGCAAGTAAATAGAGGTAAACAGTTAAAAATGTATCGTGTTTGGATTCAATGTAAATATAGAAAACCAATTTCAAAATAAAGCATTTAAACCAGCTATAAATTATATTATTATTATTATTATTATATTTTGTTATGATTTTATTCCTATCCCTATTATTGTTAATGTGTCAAACTGCATATATTTTTAGACAAATATTTTTTAATATAATGTATAATTCATACTAAAGGAAAAAAAAAATTAAATTTTTCACAAATGAAGTATTTAACTATAGGAATGAGTTCATTATTATTTTTAAGATAATTTGAATATGTACATTTTTCTTCTTTTTGTATTCAACCTCATGGTTGGTTTTGCAGTTGGATATATGCCCTACATTCTTCCTTGTTTCCAGCTAACCTTTTCAATTTAGTGTAGCTTGATAGTTTTGCATCGGAAATCATTTGTTTCACAAATGAAGTTCTTGGTCATCCTCGGTCTCTTTTTCCTTTAGTTTCCCCTTCTATTAATTTATAAATTAGTTTATTTTCGTATTTCAAAATGTGACCAATCATGTTCTATTGTCCTACTTTGGTGGTTTTGAGTATTTCTCTGTGTTTCTCTATTTATCTGAGTATGCTTTATACATACATTTTCATACTATCATAAAATGTCTTAAAAGTATGTTGTACATAAATCATTCTTCATTATTCACCAAAATAATTTACTTCTAAATGTCATACATTTTAATTTATCAACCGTTACCTATTTGATTAGTGTTAATCTACATTTAATTATGACTGTGAGCATTGATAATATTATACATCTATACTACAGAAAAGCAATACAATTTATTATATTATTATTCAAGAGTTATAAATATAAGCAGTGCAGGTGGATAGGATATAGAGTAGGATTTAGTCTCCTATAAATATTTTAAAAACTCCTCTTAACTGCATTATTTTCCTTTATATAATTATAGGTAGTGTATTTCTGTAGATTTCTATTAGAAAGTAAAAAATGTAGACACATTATTTTGTCGATATTTAGTTCACAGAATTCAGATTACACACAGTATTAAAAGTAAAATATAATTTGTTGTTTTTAGTATACCTTGAAATTGAATTATTGATTTAATCCTTATTCCGATTCAATCTAAACTTAGAATAATATAATAATAATATTAAGAAATTTAATAATAAAATCTTGATATTTTCTATTCATTTTAAATAGACTTGCCATTCGTACCAAGACAGTCTCTGTTAGTCATTCAGATTTTGTCTTGGTAAAATTTGGGTGAAAATAACATTTAATATTACATTATTTTATTATAAAACATAGAATAATATTTTATACTATATCATTATATTTTATCTTGTATTAGCTAATAAATATTTAAGTCAGAAAATGATATACTTATTTTTATATTTCCATTTGAGCATAAAGTCATTCAATATGATCTGAAAAACTCTTTAAAATACATAACTATGATTTTAATATCATATTAAGTTTGGTATCTAGTATATAATCAATCAATTTTTCTCCCAACTATTTGACATCGGTCATCTTTGTCCTGAACCTCTATTCGTCTCGATTTTCTACATCATTTCCATTCATTTTAATCGATTGATTTTACAATCTATCAATTAAAATATTTTAAGAATATCTATGAGAAATTAATATTTCATCATTAAAATTAATTAATAATTTATTACCTAATACTTAAATCATTAATTAACTCAGTCTTGTAAGATATTTTTTCAATGTATGTAGGTATCAAGAAATGCACAAATGAATCTTTCAGTGGCGAAGCGTCATAGGAGACAATGCCTACCCATTTATCTACGGATACATAATTTGGTTTTATTATATTTTATTTATTTTTATATAATATATACTTTAATATCTATCTTAGTTTTACTTTTGTGCCAAACCGTATAAGTGTTCTTAAAATAGATTAGTTGCGGACCGTGCACGCGAACAGTCGTCCGTCGTGGCGTAGTGGTTAATTCAATAAATACCCAAATACAGATATAAAAATTAATATTATGAGACCACTCGTTGCAGCGTTTCGTTTTTCAAGGCACGGTGTGCAGGGGGAATAGGTTATTGAGTGGGGATTATCAGTGCGCAATGAGACATGTCTTGTGTTCGTATTTATTATTTCATATATAATATACATTATTGTAACCGTCATTGCTTTTCGCGGTGATGCGTTATCGTTCAACGCAATTTTGTTATCGTAGTTATTGGTTGGTTTTTATTTTACGATTTATTTATTTCTGGCGTGATATTCGTACCTAAATATTAAAATATTATACTATTGTCATTCGCCACTATGCCTGATGGTTTAATTAATGAAATTTTGAATGATGTAATAGTAAATTACTCATACGAAAAAAAATATGAAATAAAAAGTAAAAGACCGTGTCCCTTTTATCATAAAAAGTTATAAATGGGGGAGGGGGCTGTAAAAGTATTATTTTAATGTCTTCCCAACTTAAATACTCGTGCTTCGCCACTGGAATCTATTAATTCTATTAGTATGGAAATAAATATAGAAATTATTCATATATTATATGTGTATAATATATATTCATATATTATAAATACATATATACTTACATATATCATTGGTTATAAATTATATTTATAAACAATGATTCTATAAATAATTAATAATTAATTTTAATGGTTTATAGTTTACATTATATTTTCTATGTGTTTGTAGAATGAAGGTTATAAAATAAAATATAATAATAATAGATTAATCCAATTAATAAGGTTTACAATACAAAACAATGCTAAGTAGTAAAAATAATTTTTTTTCTAAAATAATAAATAATCAATATATATATATATATCTAATAATAAAATTATTAATTTAAATTAACTACAAAAACAATAATTTTGTAATGCATCAATCAAAGTAAGTTATCACAATTCCAATTTTCAATAAATGTATGCAAAAATAACATTTATTTAAGAGGTATATGATTGTAGTAAACGCAATCAAACTAATGCCAGCTTTAAATTTTAAACAAAGAGTATATTTTATTATTTTATTTGTTATAATAATACAATAGTTGAATTGACATGTACAAATATAAATCAGAAAAATACTATTTGGATAATAAAGTAATAATTTCAAAGCATTATTATTTTATTTTAAATCATTTATTATTATCATTGAATTTATATAATAAAATCAATAGTAAACATACACTAACTTGACCCATAAGTAATATACAGTTAAGTGGTGATAGCTTCAAGATATTTAATCATTTACATAAAATCCCTTGAAATATATGATTACATTAATGAGTATTGATAATTTCAAAACTGTTGGTAACCCTATTTAAAGTTGAATTATCACAACTAGACTGTATGTTTTACATTGCTTTTTAATTGACCTGGATTAGCAATAAGGTAATAGTTTTTTTTTTTAATTGTTCGGTCTTGATTGACACTAAAAAGCATCAAATGTACTGTTATAACAAATACTATCAAGTCAATTTATTTTTTAGTATCTAGTATTTTTTCTATAACTTTATAATAGAATATTACTACTATAAAAAACAATAGAAAAAAAAACAGCTTGAATTAAGTTAATTTTAATAAACAACAAGTTATCTGGAAAATAAATTATGGCTATAGTAAATTAATTAACTTCTATAGGTTTTGTGATAGGTATTAGGTATAATATAAACTTAATGAAATAAATATAATAAGCTACATTTTATAATATAACTTAGTAACACTAATATTGCATACATTGTACTTGTATTATTTGTAACTGTTTAACAACATTGACTAGATATTTTCTCTTTTTCTTACGAATAAAGCAAAAATTATTATTTTTTATAAATATTGATTAAAAAAATATTTTTTATTTAATGAGAGAAATCATTAATGAAAACATAAAGTTTTAATACAAGTCAATGTTTTCAAACAGTAACCAGAATATCAATAATTAAACATAAAGATGGAACATAATACATCAAGGTCTATAATAATTTTACGTATGTGAGTTAAAATAGTTGATAAATAATTAATTTAAAATAATACACAATTTTTTTTTTTTTTTTTTAATACGCACAAGGAGAAAATTTGGTGAAAAACATGAATTATCACAGTATTAAGTACAAAACTAGGATCAATATTAAACTACATTGTGTAGTTTAAAATTAATTTATGCCCAATTTGGGTAAAACTCGTGTAAAAATGTGTCTGAAAAGGCACTATGTGGACTCGTATCAAATTAAATTAAGTTCGATCTATTACAAGTTTACTAAAAGCGAAACTATGTAAAAATACATGTATAAATTATTTTATAAAAAAATTTGTATAATCAAATATATCAATTTTTAATTATCTCTAATTAAATATATATGTTCAGTAGGAGTTTTTGTTACACACTTCTATTATCATTTACCACTAATAATTTTAACTTTTACTTATAGTTTTTCTGTAAATTTACTAAAGTTTTAGGTTGATAAAAATATGATTAATAGCCAAAACTAACTGACAATGTTCAATTATATCTTTTTTTTATTTTTATTTTAGTATTTGTACTAGATATGTATGTAACTTATTTTAAATCTTTTTTTTTTACAATTCACAACGTTAATTAATTAAACGAAAGAAAAATAAAAAATGAAATCCTAAACAGTTAATAGCTGTATCATTTTTATGGACCCAAAATACTTATTTATGTCTTTTTTTTTTTTTTATTGTGAAAATTATGTTATTCAGTTCGTTTAATAGTAAAAATAATATTACTATTTAATAATAAATAATAATATGTCACTTAGTTATTTAATTACTGGTATGTAAAAACTCCAAAGAATCAAAAACTAATAACTATTAAATAAAATGATAGAAGTTAGTCATAACTATTAGAAAAATAAATCCTTGAAGTAAATGGAAAAAAATAATGTTACTGACTTAGGCAATTGACTGAAACTGAATTAACTTTGAAGAAATACCTATGGACCATGTACAATGTAAGGAAATGAAAAATATTTTCAAGGGTCATTCATTGTGTACATGAATGCACCATCATTTTCCATAGCAGCCATTATTTCACTAATATAAGAAGCTACATCTAAGCTTTCAGCATCACTGCGTTTTATGAATGGATGTTCTAGTAGTTTGTTGTATTTAGGCCTTTGATTTTCTTCTTTAATCAAACTAAGAAAAATAATTGCACACATAAAGAATTGCAGTTTGACTATTTAAGATAAAAATACTAATTAATAAACAATGTTTAATTACCAAGTATTTACAAAATTCACAAAATGAGGGGAAAAATTGTTGGAGGTTTGAAGTCGAGGTGGATCTCCTTGAACAACTTGACATAGCTGTTCAAAAACAGAACTCCATCTAGGATAAGGAAATCGACCAGTGGCAACTTCTACTAGAGTTATGCCTAAGGACCACACATCTGATCGTACATCATAACCTCCTCGGCCACGAACCGGATCAATTCTTTCGGGCTAAAATAAATTGAACAATGTTACAGGCGGTTTAAACATAAGTAATTATAGTAAAACATACAGCCATATAAGGGCGACAACCAGCATCTCTAGTCTTGGCTATAGAATCAACTAACTGTCCAGAGATACCAAAATCACATAGTTTAATATTGCCTCGAGAATCCAATAGAATATTGCTAGGTTTTACATCACGATGTATGATTTTTAATTTTTCTTTAAGATAATTTAATGCTTTCACAGTCTAAAATAAATAAAAATATTTTTAAATTTTTTCTTTAATATATTACACATGATAATTGATAAATATTTACCGCTACTGTTATTTTTCCTAAGATACTTTCTGGTATTCGTTGGTCTAGTTTTTCATAGATATACTTATAGAATTTATCCAATGATGTATCCATTAGTTCCATACAAATCCAACAATCACCCTATTTACAATAAAAATTAAAATAATTTATTTAGTTTAAAGAAAAAATTATAATACCTCTTTAAAAAGAGCTCCATAAAATTGAACAATATAAGGGCATTCATTTGACTTCATTACAACATCTAAATCCATTAATAATTGTTTTTGTTCATTTTCATCAATAGTAGATCTTATCCTCTGAACAACAGTTACAGAAATTAATAAAATAATAATTTATATTATGTATGCAATAACTGGATAAACTAAAATACCTTAACAGCCATCACGGTATCACTACTGCGATGCAACATTTTGTTTACAGTTCCAAAACCTCCTCGACCAATTTCTCCTAAATCTTGTAGGTCATCTGACGTAAAATCATATACCTAAAAAAAAAATTATATATTGATTATATATTATATATTTTATAAAAAAAAAATATATTTTAATTTAAACCTTATTTTCAGAAAGTTGTAATTTTCCAGTAGATTGTATTGTTTGACATATTTTAAGTCTTTCTCTAAAAAAAAAAAATAGGGTATTTTTATGTAAATGGCAATATTTTTAACAAGTACTAAGTAATAAGTTTAGATTAGTATCAGTTAAGTATTATTTAATGTATTATTTTACATGAATACAATTATTTCTCAAGTCAGCAATGAAAGAGCTATCCAATATTGGAAAATAAATAAAATTAATAAATTATATTTTCATATGTTTTAGTTTCTAAATTTAAAAAAAAATCAATCAATTATTCATATAATGCATATATATATATACACATCATCTAATGTCTATAATTTTAGCATGTTATTAGATTTTTAAAAATAATTTTAGTACACATTATACACACCTAATCTATTTTTATTTATTAGTGATAAGACACAACTTAAAATTTTTTTAAGTTATTTACATATTTATAATACATCAATGAATTATATATAAACAAGTTTCAGTTTGCAATGAAATAACAATTAGTTATCTAAAATACAGATAAATACATAGTATGTTAAATATTAAATAAAACATAATTTAGTTGATAAATAACGTTTAAATAAATAGGTTGAAAAATTGTATTTGTAAAGATTATTTTTATCAGGATAAATAATAGAATTATTAAAATTTTATTTGATTTTAATATTATGGAAAAAAAAAAAAAATTAAACATACATACAGTTACTTTATAATTTTTTGAATTTATAAAATAAAAAATTTGTCAACCAATAATTAGTATGGTTAGCATTATGTTTTTAGTTATACTTAATATTATGTAAACTGTTTTCTTTATAATTAAGTGCCATACAAATCAAGTTTTATTTTATTTGAAATAAGATAATAATAAAATATCAATTTGTAAAAGACCAAATATAAATTGAAGATTTGTGACTATAAAACAATTTTAAAGGTTTTGAAATTATTAAATATAAATGCATTTAACTATTGATTATACACAATCAATCATTGAAATAACATTTTTAATCAAATTTATGAAGATTTAATTTACATAATATATATTAGGATATTACAAAACAAAAAAACATTATTTTTATTTTTGTTGCTTTACCAACTTACCGTAATTTACTACGTTCTACTGATTTGTATCTGTATACATAAAGAAAATACTTTTAGAATTATCTTTATTAGATTTAAAAGCAAATTTTTAAGGAGAAATCTATATATCTAATATTAGCGTTGTTTATCAATCCAAAATATAATTTTTGGCAGAATTTAATAATAATAATTTTATAGGTTTGACAATGGCAAACATATGTAAAGCACACATCAATAAAAAGTTTTTGTTCAACAAACTTTATTAATTAATATTTTAATCAATAAATAGAATCAATTTATTGAGAAATAAAGATATGTACTTGTATTAAACCCTACAAAGGAAGAGTTGTTTGATAAAAAGTTAAGTTGTCAAAAAATATTATTAACATCCATAAATTTAAAAAAATTAATCATTATAATAACAATATAAATAGCAACTATCATTATTATAATAAAAAATGTATTTTTAAAATTTAATAAAATAATAAATTTAAACTTATGAGAATATTAGAATAATAAAATAGATTGCAATTTGGATAAACTGCCAATAAAGAACAGTTGCAACTTAGTTGTGACAGTTTTTTTATGAAGCAGTTAGCTAATATCAGATATTTACTTACAATATCAAAACAAATAAACAAATTATAAAAATCATACGAAAATACTATTTTATTAAGAAACCGATAAATCTATAATTGTTTTAAATTATTGTGTCAATAAAAGATTATTTATTAAGAATACATTTTTCCATAGTTTTAGAAAAGATAAATAATTAAACTATTAAAATTCAACTAATTTAGTAAAATAAAAATAAAATTTCCTAATCTCAAATTAAATATAATTTGACAACTAAAACATAATGTATGATAAAGTATTTTATTTTTAGTTAATATTTTTATATAATATAAAATTAACTTATTAACTTACTTAGATTTTTCACTCATTGTTTCAGTAGTGTTAGCCAGCCTTACTCTTGGTAAATTTTGTTGTTTTGATGTTAATCCATTGCTTAACAATTTATTATTTTCTTCACATCTGTAAAATAATTAACTATATTACTATTTTTGATTTTTTTTTTAAATATATAGCAGTAATTTAATCATAAAAAAATAATTCGAAATAAATAAGATATATTTAAATTAGGAAGAAAACTAAGGTTTATTATACGTAGATATTGTTATTAAAATGTAGTGTAACTAAAATCATAAAATTATATTAAAAATATCTGCCATTTATCCATTCATTGTTATGTTGCCAAGAGGCAACTCAATATTAGTTGAGGAGATCTATGAGGCAAAACATATTTTGTTTTAAGTGACCTGCAAGATTAAAAAACTAGGAGGTAAAGAGAGCTAAAAATATTAAAATTAATTAAACAAATTCTTGAAATGAGTAATCATCATAGTTTGTAAGTATAAATATATTTAGCTTCAAAGATATTGAAACAATTTAGATTACCTTATTCCTTTTGTTACAAATTAAAATGATTAACTGTTATATTCTTCAAAATTACTGTAAATAGTTTTTAATAAAATACATGTTCACTGTAAAAAGAGTGAATTAATTTTATCATAAATTAAATAATTATCAAAATAAATAGTTGTATTTTTATTTTTTTGTTAAAAAATATTACTATTGAATTTAGTATAAAATGTTTGAATTATTATGATAGTACAGTAAATTTTCATTATATCTAATCTCAAGGGAAAAATAGTTTGAGATCAATATTTATTAAAATTTAAAAAATTAGTAATATACAATTTGAATACTTTAAATACTTACACTTACTAATATTTACAATTACTTATTACAATATTTAATATATTCATTTTTTTTTTATTACTGCTGCCTTTCATATCTTCTATATTGGATAATATAAAACCATTACATTTTATAATTCTGTTAAATAATTTATGGTATTGTATTTAATGGGATATTGAATTCATTGGAAATTTTACATTTTTTATGATCACCTTTCTCAAATAATTAATAATATTAATAATACTAAATAATAAATTGTGTCCAAAATATTAATGACATATGATTTGTTATGAATGCACACAATCACTATATAAATGTACTCTACAATTTTTTAGTCTTACAGTAGTAAAAATAATATTTTTATACTTAAGAGGATCAAAATCGATTAATTTTATACAGTTATTGAGAGCGAATTGCTATTGAATGGAATGTAGTATCAGGCGATTTTTGTGTAGTTCTAAATAATTATGATTGATATAACAAAAATCTATTATAAAATAATAATTATAAATGATAATATAACATATTTAGGGTAACATTCAGTAGTATAATTCAATAGTTAGGAATATAAATATATGTAAGACGGTCTTCTCTAAAACAGGATGGTAAAAGTATTTTTGGAAAATTAACAGGTAGTTTTGGCATTGTATCATGGATAAATTTTAAATGAATAGAGGTAATAGAATAATTTATCATAACTTGTGTTATGTACATATATTGAATTATGGATTTAATTATATATATTAATGAGCTAGGATCCAAGATAATTCAGCGAATACATACCCACTGAAATACCTAGGTTGTCTTAGATTTTATTGTTTAAAGCAGTGATGGCCAAACTACGGCCTGCAATCATTTAATATCTGGCCCGCAAAAGTCTTCTATATTACAGCACTTATTTGTATAACTGTAATATTTTGCATTTACGTAAAAAAAAATTTAGAATGCATTTTTTTATGGCCTGTGATAAAAAAAAAGTTGTTTTTATGGCCTGTGATAAAAAAAAGTTGTTTTTTATGGCCCGAGGAAAAAAAAGTTTGGCCACCACTGGTTTAAAGGATCCCTATATTAAGAAAGATTATACTAATATATTCATTTATAAAATAAGATTTCATAATGAATAATAATGAATATAATGAATAGTTAGTACAGAGAAATTCACAAAAACAAGTAGATAGTAGATTGACTTTTTCCTCATAAAAATAGAAATGTTATGTTAAGTGTTGAATCTAATGTATAGTAAGTATAAGTAATTTAATAATAAGAAAAAATGGCAGGGTTTAATTAATAAATAAAATATGTGACTCTGGTGAATTTTTTTTTTCAAAACAATTTCTAATTTTTACCCTTTCCCATTCCATTTCTCCTCAAATTATTTATTAAATAAATATGCAAATAGGATTAATTATATGTACATATATCAACATAATATATAAAAATTAACAAAGTTAATCAATATTAAAATAAATGTTATATAAGTATTTACAAAAAATAAATAAATATATATATAGTATATATTATATAAAGCTAATAAAGATATTTTAATATTTTACTTTAGCAAATGTGTAAATGAAATAGTTGCAAAAAATTAGCATCAACTGTAAATCTGCTTAAGTATTCAATATTGTTTAACTGTTATTTTTCAATATCTAGTCAAACTAAAATAATTTTATATTTGTTAACAATAAAAAAAAAAAAATGTATATGTAACTGTTTTGAACATTATCAGAATAACTATTATTTTAATTATCAAAGTTAAATGAGAGAGATTAAATTTAACAATTAAGTAGTAGAAAGTAATGGAAAATATTTTGGATTAAATATATAAAGGAATTCACTTTTATTTTATTTTAAACTTATTAAATCATATTTTGACTTTAAAAAAAAAAAAATAATAATAATAATAGATTTTATACAATAAAATTAAATAATTTAAAACTAATGAATTTAATTTTTAAATAGTATATTAGAAATAAATCATTTTATAATAGAATAACTTTTAGATAGTATTATTTATATTTGAAGTATCTAAATGATATAAGTATTTGACTTTAAAATTAAGTGCTTTATTGACCATAACATTTTAAGACTGGATAGTCCTATAAATAAGACTTTTTTCTACATAAAACTTACTCATCACCTTTATTTATTATTAAGATTTAGATTTTATAATTCATATACCTCAAAAGAAAAAAAAAGAAAAATAATAAAATATCTATGATTCATGAGTAATTATTTACGTTGGTGGTTATATATTGAAGTAAATAACTTTGTAATAATAACAATAACTATATAAAAACAAATTGGTAATTATAAATATAGTCTTACTTTAATGACTGTAAGCTAGGTATTGGAGAATTGAATCCAAAAGTAGAACCAGATGTTCCTCGAATAGCTAGTTTCAGTTGTCTTCTTTTTTCTAAAAATTAAAACATGAATGTAAATATTGATTAAATACAATTTTCATATTTAACACTACAAAACCAGTACCTGTTCCCACAGCATCTTGACACATATCTAACTGCGGAAGAGAAGGTCTAGCAGCACCTAAAAATGTTAAGGTAATATGCTACAAAATTACACCACGTCGTGATTTATTAGGATACTTGAAGGCGTACAATTCGAAAATAATGTGATACATAACATTATATAGTATTACTTACCAGATGACGAACTTCCGTTACTGTCATTGTTGGACATTTTTATATGACTAGTAAGTTGCTAACACACATGGGAAGATGTCTAGAGATTCGAAGTCGGCTGTCGAATAACTTGAAAATAGTTGACAGTCTCTATAATTGTCCTGCTGCCTCTTAAGTGAACACGATAGGAAAATATTTCGGATGACATTAGATGATAACAAATACGTGAAGATAAAAATTAAAGCCAAGTGGGTGGTTTAAACGTCTCATTTGGCGGCACTGAAGTCGATATCATTTTTAACATTTTTATCACCTAATCATATCACTAAACAGGATAAGAAATAGATAACAACTAAAATATTAAATAATTCCCTAGTCAGTTGTCTAGTTTTTAGAATGAAGTATCTTATGTTCTTTTTAGATTTATGGCTTCTAATATTTAGGTACACTCATCCGTATCTGAAATGATGTATCACTTTAAATGTTTGATGTCTAAACTTATTTCATAGACAATGCCGGATTTTTACACTATGATATAACTCATTATGAACACTGAAAACAGTTATGTAAGTACTGATTTCGCTAGCTTGTCTTATTATTATACCAGCCGTTTACGAACTTTTTTTTTGTTCATTTTATAGGTTGCACTTAATTTACATGATATAAAAAATGCTGATTATAGTTCAAGCATGTTGAAAGAACTTCGTCAGAGCTTGAGTTCGTCTCAAGCGTACCGCATTTCAAATTCTACTATACGTTTTCAAACTCATTTTGTTATTTTAGTTTCGTTGATTGGTATTCTATTCTTAGTTATTTTGTACAACATGGCATATACACCAACACCAAAACTTGTCAGTTATGGTCTCAATCATCCACATGATCAACTTATGTACAAATCAGTCACATCAAAATATCCATTGTCTCAACCTATTTATTTAAAGAATTTGGGTGTAAAGTTTCGAATTGCAATTATTAGTGATTTAGATAAAGCATCTAAAAGTCTGACTGAAAAGAACATTTGGTACAGTTATTACAAAAAAGGATATCTTACTTGGTATGCTAGCAATAATACTATAGACATATTATGGGACCATGTAGGACCTAAAGTATTAAAATCCTCAATATCAATGGGCGGTCGAGGAATGGAACTTTCAGAACTTGTTACATTTAATGACAAAATATATTCATTTGATGATAGGACTGGTATTGTTTATAGTATTGGCGAAGATGATACTGTTTTGCCGTGGATTATACTCATGGATGGAAATGGAACTAGTTTTAAAGGTAAAATGCATATTTTTTATATCTCACTAGTATACTTGTCATAGTAATTTTTATCTATATCTCTAATTATTTTTAAGGTTTTTTTTCTTAGAAAATAATTATAAATATATTTAAAATTTTATAAAACTTACTATATTTAATATTAAGCTGAATCATTAATAAATAGTTATTATTAATAATATTAATATATAATAATAAAAATAATTAATTCAGTAAAAAATTTTTTATTTGACTTGACAAGTATAATTTAAATATCATTCCCCAATAATTATTAATTCTAATCTATTTTATAATTATTAATAATTGGTAAATTAGTAGTCCTAATTGTTATCATAATCCGAAATATTTTAATGATATAATATTTCTTATTTTTCTATGGAGCTTGGATGTTCAATTGGCTGTTTGTGAGCAATATATGGTCTATGCTATATTTAAAAAGTTTAAAATTAAAATTAATTTTTACAACTTCTATCTCAAATTTATCTATATTTATAAATTACCTTGTTTATGGAATACTAGTATATAGGTATCAATTTATTATCTAATAATTAATAAATAAATGACTATTAATAAAATGTATTATGAAATTTTTTTGATTTTTATGCTTTGTACTGATAAATTTTAAAGTTTTAAACATTAGCCTTCTAGTAATTTTGAATTGCTATCCCTACTATTTAGTTTTAAAAATTAATTAATACCTTTTATGTATATTTTTATTTTAGGATATAAAAGTGAATGGGCAACTGTACATAATTCTGATCTATATGTTGGAAGCATGGGGAAAGAATGGACCTCATCAACAGGGGAATATGTTAATAATAATCCTATGTGGATAAAAATAATAAATAAGTTTGGTCATATTACTCATGTTAATTGGGTAAATAATTATATTGCAATCCGTAAAGCAGCTAACATAAATTTCCCTGGATATATGATTCATGAATCATGTGTATGGAGTCAGGTACATAAACGTTGGTTTTTTTTACCTCGGAGGAGTTCATCAAAACAGTATAATGAAGACGCTGATGAATATATGGCAACAAACTTGTTAATATCAGCAAGTGATAATTTCAAAGATATTAAGGTTATTAATTTAACATATAGAAAATAGATAGTATTATAGTTTGATTCTAATTTAATTGTACGTTAATATAGGTTGTGCATGTAGGTGAAATTATACCTACTCATGGATATTCTAGTTTTAAATTTCTGCCTGGCACAAATGATAGAATAATTGTAGCACTCAAGTCTGAAGAAGTTGGATCAGAGACTGCTAGTTATATTACTGCATTCAATATTGATGGAACAATTATACTACCAGAAATCAAAGTAGCTAATCATAAATATGAAGGAATAGAATTTGTATGACCCATATCAAAATCATGTGATTTTAATTATATAAATAACATGTATATAATGTTAACATATAGCATTTTATTTATAAACATTGTTTGAGTTTGTCTATAAATAATGAAAGTTCTTCTTGGGAAAATTCCAAAAAAACATTTTCTGATATTTTTGGATTTTCTATGTTTTTTGACCTAAGTCCATCCTTCAAATGTAATATGACTTGCAACAATGGCTCTTCCAAGGTGCTCAATGTACTGCTGCCCATTACATACTAAAAAATAAAAATTTAAAATGTTCATTTGAACTGATTATTTTAAATTAGATGTTAGATCAATAAATTGATACATCATACAGCTTAATTGCAGAAATGTAATAAATAGCTTAAAAAAATGTAGTGATAATTATAAATATATCCACAAATACACATTTAAAAATATGTTATTTATTAAATTTATTTTATTTACTCTTAAGTTTTTTGAATCATTTAGAGTAAGTATTATTCAATTAAATATTTAAATATAGTTTTTAACAAAAAATATTTTAAATTTACTAAAAACTAATTTAGAAGTATACAGAATTAATCTGCATTTTGTTTAATGAAGTTTTATAGTTTCAGTTAATTTCAACATCAGATAACATTTATTGATACATTTAATTAAAAAGGAGTAAATAAATTAGTTACATAGAATAAATAAGATTTTTAAGTAAAATAATGATTTTGAAATATATATAAACAACTTTGATAATTATATTTCATATGAATAAGAAGAATTTATTCTATTATTTTTACAATTTTAAGATAATGATAGAACATTGATTTTATGTTAATTTTTTGTTTGTATCATTGCATTACTGCTTAGTTCATTTTCTACTTTAGGTATTAAATTTAATAATTCTTCAGTACTGGTTTTGAAATCATCATCTGCCCAATATTCAACAAGTTTTCTCATAATAATTCCTACTTTTTTTCCATCATTAATTCCATGTGTTCTAATCATGTTCCCAGATATAGGAAATTTTAATGGAGTCCATTTTTCAAATTCATCAAGAATGATTCTTTCATTTTTATACATTAACAGTTGTTCGATATATAACTTCATTACCCCTTGCTTGGATGGATTTTGAATAACTTTGATTTTATATTTTTTTAATGTATCCAACGTCCAATGTTCATTTCTATTTTCAATTAAAAATAAACCTATTTCTCTTTCAAACACGCGAAACTTTAATCTATTGTTAAGTTCAATCAAATCTTGTTGTTCTTTTAATAAGGTTGTTAACATGGTAATTGGTAGCAATTTAAGACCTTTGCTTTGATAGATAACTTTATCAAATTCATCAATATTAGGTTGATTAGGTAAGCCTATATGTGGACCAAGGCCTAAATTTAAAATAGTTTTCATAAGTTCTGGTCCATAGTTTCCTTCCAAAATTTTACTGAGTTCTGACCATATCCTTTCACCAGATACCTGTTTCAACCCATTTCCTTTTTCTCGTATTGCTTCAAGGATGTATGTATCATGTTGATCAGGTGCACTAGCTAAACGTCCATAAAATCTAAAATAGCGTAAAATTCTTAAAAAATCTTCAGAAATACGTTGTTTGGCATCACCAACAAATTTTATTTGACGTTTCTTCAGATCTTCATAACCATTGAAATAATCATAAACAGTACCATCCATTCCTAAGAACAAAGAGTTAACAGTTAAATCTCTTCGTCCTGCATCTAATTTCCAATCTTTAGTGAATTCAACAACAGCACGTCTGCCATCAGTGACAACATCAATTCTCAGTGTAGTGACTTCAAAATTAACACCATCAACATGAGAAGTTACTGTTCCATGTTTCAAGCCACCTTTATTTACTAGTTTAATATTTTCTTTCGTCAACATTTGAACCATTTCTTCAGGAGTCGCTGTGGTTGCAAAATCTAAATCAGTAGGAGTAATTCCCAAAAGAATATCACGTACAGCTCCTCCACAAAGTCTGATTTCATATTTGTACTTATCAAAAACTTGTAGTACTGTTGTGAGTTGTGGAGAGAATATAAAACCATATTGCGAAGGTTCGAGCTTCATGATTGCTGCATTTGATCGAGATTTTAGATTATAATTAATAATTGGATTAATAAAACTTTGAAAACGGCTTAAGTATGGAATTCGACACGGATGCAATAAATATCGTCGAAACAAACACTTCATTTCATTGATAGAATACAATTAATTCTCTCTATTAATAAGAAAATTAATAAAGTACATTTTTTACACTATACACATAGAAATATGAATTAGAAATTTACCTTTAATTTCCAGTCAAAATCTACCAAGTGTTTCTCCATCATTTGAAATTTTTATTTTCACCAACATTGAAAATTTGATAATTGATAGTTAGTTTTGATAAAGTGGATATGAATTATAATAGTATTGTCTATGGTTAGCACATAGTTCAATGGGTTAGCACTGATCGGATTTTGAGGTTAGAATTTAATATTTTATACGATATTTTTTAAATAAACGAAAAATGTATGAATAAAACCATATAATAAATTATTTTTGAACTTAAATTAAATTTAGAATAGGTTATTTGCCTTATTGATTGGTGATTAATAATATTTACGGTAAGAAAAAGCTTTAAAATAAAATATTTAATACTGACAAACATCGATATCTTATCACATTGATCGATTGTTTGTTAATATCACCGAAATCCGCGTTGCATTTTGTTTTCCTTCCACCTCGATAGAATCTTTTGAGAAATATTTCTGAGTGTTAATTGTTGAAACTTATTAAACTAAGTTTTATTTCGGAATTCTATTACCAAACAGATCATGGTAAGATTAATTTGATTTATTAACCATGTTTAATTCAATAAATTAATTTACATGTTAAATAAATGCATTAAGCATCACTCTAATGGCGTACTTCTACTTCTAACCTCCATCCTTTAAGGCCACATGGTTTCTTTTTAGACCAGAATTTTATATTTACATGTTGATTGAAAATACAGACTAAAAAGTAGCTGTAATTATATTGTTTACAGTAACCGGAATGAATATCTTACAACTAATTAAACAATTTATCTTTAATCTAAATTTTTTCATGTACGCTACAAATTATTATTTAGGTTTTTTTTTATTTTGATATTGTTAAAGGTTTTTATTCTATTAATATTTATTCCTACCTTTAAATGACAAACTGAACAATTTGTATTGAAAACTGTTTAAAACGAAATTGTAAATTTTACTTTTTTCTTAGAATACGATTTTAATCATAGAAAAATGTTATAAATTGTATTTAATTTTAATTAAACTAATGATGAATCTTACGTACTGATATTTTTAATGAATGTTTATTAAGGGACGTAATTCTGAAGAATTAATAATATATTTTTCTTTAAATAATGATGAATCTTACGCATTGATCTTTTTAATGACTGAATATTAAGGGACGTAATTCTGAAGAAAAAGCAATTGTATATTTTTCTTTAAATAATGATGAATCTTACAAACTGATATCTTTTATGAATGGATATTAAGGGACGTAATTCTGAAGAAGTATAAACTGTACATGTGTGTTTTTTATTATATTTAATAACGAACACTATCTACTGATAATTATAAAAGTATGTTACGGAATGTGCTCCTGAAATTATTTTATATTGCTTTATTAATTGTGAATTATTTTAGTTAAATATTTAATTGATTTTATCTAAATTTTTTATAAATATTCTTCAGTTTGTATTAAATAAAGTATTAATAGCATTTTATATTTTAGCCCCAAGAAATTAAAGAAATCAAGGATTTCCTTCTGAAAGCCAGAAGGAAGGATGCTAAATGTAAGTATTTTTCCTGACTAATTTCTTATTGCTTTTTTTTTTTTATTAAAATGTCTTCCATTGTTTTTTTTTTTGTTAAAGCAATAAGTCATCTAAGTTATATAACTTAAATATTTTAGGCTATAGTAATTATTGTTTAAATCTAAGTTATATAGTAGAAAATATAAAATTGTACGGTTTATTAATCTATTTGTATTTAAAAGAAAAACTACTATTTTTGTACATAAAAACGAAGTTTTCTATAGAATTGCAATTTTATTTAAACATTTTATTGTAATATTTTGTATGTGAATTGAATAAAAATTACCAAGCAGCATATAACATTCACTAAGTGCAAACTATTTTTAAAATATAAATTTCAAAATAAATGGTTTGGTTTTTACCTTTATGCAAGAGTATTTTTTCTATTATAAATCATTTATATTTATTATTGTATTGTTTTAATAGCTGTCAAGATTAAGAAAAACATTGAAAATGTCAAATTCAAGGTACGCTGTTCTCGATTCCTTTATACCTTAGTAATCACAGATAAGGAAAAGGCAGAGAAACTTAAACAATCGTTACCACCTGGTAAGATATTAGGTTCTAATATTTTATAGTTTAAAAAGTATTAATATTTATATAAATGTCTGTTATAGGTCTTCAAGTAAAGGAGATCAAATGTAAAAAAATGAACGCTGATGATAAGGAGAAAAAATAATAGGGTTACTGTGAATTGACGTTTATATAAAATATAATTAATTTTATTACATGTAAGATGTCTTTTATTATTTAAATTCCTATATGATTCTTTAACTATATTCTGCATAATCTGTATACTTAATGTACTAATTTTTTGTAAAAGTATCATCTGCAATTACACAATAAATTGCAATTGATCAATATAATCTTAAAATCATATTCTTCAGCTAATAAATTATTTGATCATAAAGAAATATTTTTAATGTACACTTGTATAATATATTCTGTGTAATAATATCAGCCTATAAACATATTATGTTTTCTTTTTTATAAAAAAACCATTTAGCTTTTATAGCTTTATAGACTAGAATTATAACTATATAGACTTGTTGCCGTGAAGTTACTTAAATAGAAAATTTGCAGTAAAATTAGACTAAATTAAAGATTAAATGATGAATTATAAATAACAGTTAAATTAAATACTTTATTATGTCTATAGTAATCACTAGAGTATGGATTTTAAAGGAATAAAAAGCAATAAAGATATATAAATTTTCCAAAAAAACTTAAAAAATCCATTTTTAAATAATAAATTTATATTTTTTAACAATTTATAAATTACTCTGTGGTGTTACTACAAAAACTAAATTGTAATTTTAAGTAGATAATTTTCAGAGCAAGAGCATATTTTTGTGTAAATTGGCGTTTCAAGATAAATTAGTCTACTATACATCATACGGTATATAACAGCGAACACACTGAAAGGTTGATAAGAAATGGTTGAACAAAATTTGGGACACATAATATAAAAATAAATATTAACATTTCAATTACATTTATTTATAACACATTTTGAATAAAAAAGTATCCAAAAATACTCAAAAAAGCATTAAAGTACAAAATATACAAAATGTGCATTTTATTTTAAGTAGTATAAATTTAATTTTTGGTTGGCAGCTTCGTATAGAAAAAGAAAGCAAATGCTTTCAAAATCTGTATTTTGATACTATTCTAAATATTGAAAGGAAATTGTTAAATTATTTCACATATATTGATTTGTGCATGATCTATAGAAAAATGTTGGAAATAATTATGTTTTATTATGTTTGAGTATTATCCTTAAAAATAATAAATTATGGTTGAATGACATGCATATTCATTGAATTAGGCAATTTTTTAAAGAAAACTAGTTTGATTTGACATTGCTATTTTTATTAGAAAATAAATGGACAATATTAATTTTTGTTTCTTTTTTTCTATTTTTTTTTTCCATTAATATATGAAATAAACCCTCATGAGTATAAATTAAGATACATTTTGTCCAAATGCAAGTGATTCATATTATTTACAATTGTATTATTAGTAGAAATAAAATCTTTTTAAATATACTATTAGTATAAGACTTATTAGAAAACATATTTAAATTATTGCTCATTGGAAAAGTATGAAATTTGAAGTTATAATAAATTTAAGTCAACTTATAACTTGGTTTTCTCTAATTAAAAAATTATCCAATCTATAAAAAATTATGTTTTATAAGATCAGTTGATCAGCCATTCCCATTGCATTCCAAATTGAAAAAATACTGTATTATTTTTCATATTTAAAATTTTTTGTTAGGGCTTGTTTCTAAGTTCAAATATCTATATGATTGAAATTTGTGATATGTTTTAAAATATATTTATGAGTGAATTATGAATTTCTAAAATAAATGTAATTTACCAGGGAATATAATATGTATATAATCAAAATGGGTAAAGACAAAGAATACAAAATCACGGGTATCCGTTAAATAAAACCAGTATTGTATTGAATTATAAAATACAAATATAACTTACTTCATCCCATAAAAAATGGGCTTATTTAAGTTCAATTTGATGAGCATTTGTTTGACATTTCTGAAATTTAAAGTAACATAAAAAAAAAGAAATCAATCAAAACTAACAATTAATTTAATTTACAAGAGATTTGATACAAACAACTATTGAAAAAAAAATTACATTACATTATACATTTTTAAATCTAGTAATTACATAAAGTAAAATAAAAATATGTCACAGCAAAATATTCAAGTGATATAATAACAATTAAAATTAAAATTAATTAATAGTTAATAAAAGTTATGCACTATTCTTAAAAATAATTGTTTATAATAGAAATAAATTATTTTTGAAATGTTAAAATTTGTAGAGTATAGATACATCACAATTAGCTTTATTAGATACATTTTTAAAAATTTAATTTTTAGGGCTCATCTTAACATAAAGTTTTTTCCTAGAAAATAGTTTAATACCAAGTTGTAGTTTATCTAATTCATTTTCAAGATTTTTACGTTTTTCTTTCATCTTATACGAATCTGAGCTTACAGGTAACATATTCAACTGCGTTAGCAGATGGTTATAATCTATATCAACAAATCTTATTATACATAGTGTTTCTTATGAAGTACTGAAATAGAAATTTTACCTTTTTTTATTTTAGATAAATGTTCCAAACGTTCTGGTTCAGGTAGTAATAAATGTCCAGGAGGACAGGCAGGATCATCAAGACCTAATTCACGTCTAATAGCTAATTTCTTTTGTGTTTCCTTTTCATTTTTTTCTTTTAACACTTTACGATCTTTTAAATATCTAACAACAATATTAAAATATTACAGAAATGAATTAAAAAAAAAAAAAAAAAAAAACTTGATTAAACAAACTTGGGTATTTCTCCAGGTTGATGATAACTTGTTGCATTTTCTTTAAATCCAACTGAATGTTTTGTCTTTAAATTTATTTCATCTTTTTTTAAAGGTTTCAAACTATTTTTAGATACATAGTTAGAACAGTCCGATTCAGAACGTTCAGTTTGTACAGCAGCAGTGTTTTTATGATTCATTTGAATTGTAGCTGTATCCAATTTTTCTGATTTAGGATACCTGACAATACTATCTTTTAAAACATCTTCTTCATTATACGGATTAATTGTTTGTGTACCTGTGATAAAATATTAAAGGTCATGAAGTAAGTAATAACTAATAAGCACTGAATGGTAAGCTGGTGGATAATTTAAGATTAATATTATTTTACAGGATATATTAGTAATATTAATAATTGAAAAAACATAATTTTATCATTGTTTAACTTTACATTTTAAATTTAAACAAAATATTGTCCTCTGAAACTGAACTACGCTACTCGTTTTAAATAAATAGCATTTCTTTTATACATAATAAATGTATAATCAATGTAAATAGTTATTGTATTAAAATAATTAAGTTTTATGTTATTATGTTTTATAAGAGTTCTTATAAGATGTAAATATATATATATATATTATTGAACAAATATTAGGATTACCTTGATTTTTAAAATCTAAATATTTTTCATTTGTGCAGTTGATACATAATTTTTCTTGAGTTATCTTAGTATGAGCAATTGCAGAGCGAATAGATTTTAAACTAGCATCAATTTTATCCAAATCTATAGATTTTACAGGTTTTTTAGCTAAGTCATTATTTGACCCACGTCTCGATTTTAATTTCTGCAAATGTAAAACAAACAAATTCATTATTATAATACTAATTATTTTTAATGGCCCATTACAATAAACTGAGGAAGGAAAAAATATAAAATCTTTTATGAAGGATACAAAACCATATCATATTCAACTGTTTGTATAAAATTATATTGAAATTTTAAACATTAAATACATATCATGAATAAATAAAATATATTTTATCAAAAAATTATGAATCAATTTTTTTAAAAAATTGAACAAATAAAAATGCTCAAAATGTAGTAATATTGAAAATGTATTAAATAAATTAAAACCTTAATGAAATTTAAATCATAGTAAATATATCTCTTTTTTTTTAAAGATAATTATATTTTTAATAATCAAGTTTTCTTTTTTTTTTTTTTTTTGATAAATCGATCATTTTGTACATGTGTTTTAATTTAATCTTAAAGGTTTTTGAGTTAATCTCACTTATAACACAAAATCTATAACCAGTTTATATAGTATTTATTAAAAATGATAAGAATACTAAATAGTAATAGATCATATAATAAATAACAAGTATAGTATGGCTTTCTAGTTGCCAGGATACTTACTATTATACATAAACAAATAATAGACAACTAATTAATGTAATAATTTTTCAAATTTAATAATCTTTATAACTTCCAAGTACAGGTAAATGAAATAAGTTGGAATTATTGTGAACACAAATGTCAATAACATACCTACCTAATCAGGTTATTTATTTAAATTATTTAGGCAAATTAGTTTATTATTAACATTTAGCTAATAATATTTCGTTACTTATATAGGTGGGTTATAAATATACAAATAGTTATACGTTTATAGCCATTTTGGTATTATTTCCAATGAAATTCTTTCATTGATATTTAACCATTCTTAATTTGTTTTTTTAATTTACCTTTTTATTGTAGGAAAATCTACTATTAGGGTTTTCTTCTTTCATTTTTGCATTTGTCGGTCATATATTTTTCATCTAAAATGAGCAGTTTTTCCTTATGTTCTTGGGTTTTTGTATTGTGTTCCACATACAAGTAAGAATATTGGTCAGAAGCAGGGTTAGAAGTATGATGCGCGTAGAAAGTTTTATCTTAATTATCCTCAATATTTCTATTTCTTCTATATTCTATTTTAAATTTTATGACCTATTTACTTATGTTATGAATAGATGGTTTGTGATATTATTTTAATTATATTTGTTAATAAATTATGTTTAGATAATATTAATAAATTCTAAATGTATTTAAAATTAGAATTAGCTTATTAATTACAATTAGTTTAAGTATAATATCAGTACAATAGTAAGTCTGTATCATTCATTATTAATTTAATCTATATTGTAATACTTTATGATATACATTTTGCAAATAAATAAATAATACTATCAAACAAAAATATTCCCTTGAAAAAATAAAAATAAATTTGTTGGAACTGAAAAACAATGCCAATATGTTTAAAACATATTCATAAATAATATTTAAATAGTATTACCTGAATATTGTCACTAGACAATTTGTTTAATGGATTTTCATTTTCTTTTAATGCTTGAGTGTTTTTAGCTAGTTTCGTCACATACTTTTTATTCTGTAGAACAAAATTCTTCTGGGGTTTTGTTCCACCAACTGCTGTATTAATACAATTTTTATTATTCAGTCAGTTTTCTAGATGAATAATTAATAACTGCAAAGAAACTTACTATATGAAATAGGAAAAAAATCTCTGATTGAACTCATTGTTATAAAAAAAAGTCTGGTTATTTGATTTTTTTTTTTTCGAAGATAAAAATCTCTAAATATAATAACACCGTGCTAAGCTTTGACCAATTAAAGCTACAATTATTACTTTTACTAATTTTTATTGGACCTAAATTATTTTTCAATTTTATTATCGATCCGTTAAAATTGAATTTTAAAAAGAGGTAAGTGAGATCGTTAGAAATTGTAAAGATAATTGATAACAACGACCTAAATCCATTATCAACTGAAAAAATTCCAAAGAGATTGTTGCTTAATACTGCCAAAATTCAAAATAAAGTTTAAATAAAGTTTTTATATTTATATATATTAAATAAATTTAATTAAAGTTTTTTTTATTCAATTTCTGAATAATGTTTACCCAAGAAAAACGTTTATAGTTTCGTAAGATGAACTGTTTCATGTTCGTCAAAGAATCTGATGTCATATTTGAATTCTATATCATTCTTTTCAGCCCTAGTCTTGTACACGATCTGTAAAATATTTGCATAATGTGACAGTTTTGATCGTTTAGCTGTAGTGGATTTGTGAGGAAAAACGGTGTGGGCTTTCATTCTAATCCACATCATTGAAATATTTTTTTCGTTATTCAGATAAAGATAAAAAAATACCGGTATTGGAACCGGAATCATTTTTTTAAATTGTGAAATCTGATCGATTTTACTTGGGAACCCAAATAGAACTGGTACCGAAATGTAATAACATAAGGATTGTTCGATTCTTCTTAATACTCATCAGTTGTAATACTGTATTTTTATCATTGATGCATCGTCAAATTTGAAAATGTATTAATTTATTTAGTACCTATTTGTATTATACATTTGTATTAAATTTGTATTAATACGTTTAGACGGAATTCCGTCTACAATATTTACGACTATACCGTATATTTTTCGGGAAACAATAAGACAGAGCAGTATAAGCGATTGCATTCTTTGTTCATGACAAAAAATACTTGATTGTTTTTTCAACTCAATTACTTTTAGATTTTGTAAAAAACTTGTACCATTAAATACCGGCACTCGGTAAAACTTTTACTTTTGTATTTTAAGAACCGATTTCGAAACATAATTAATCATCAAGATCTTGTAAATTACATATTATACACCGTTATTAAATACGTTTTAATTGATATACCTTACATTGGTTTTATTACAATTTACAAAATATATGAAGTATAATTATACGGATATGATGTATGCGTATTGTATTGTCTTAAATTTGCATATTGTGACTAGTATCGGTTGAAGTGATGTGTGAAGGGTGCGTATAGGACCGGATTAAAAGTTTATCGGGCCTGGAGCCTAGTAGTACAAAGGGCTCTTAATCCTTATAATATTACCGATAGCTGAATTTTATTTCTTTAAAAAAATTATACAAAGTAATTGATTATACAGAAATATCTTTAACCTTTTTTAATATTTATCAATTTTCGTTACATGCAAATATACAATATTATTCTTTAAATGTAAAAATAAAATTATAATATTTTAAAACTAACTTTATTCTCTTATTTTCTCTTCTCTTTTTGGAACTCCACAATAATTTCATCTGTATTTATTTCTTTTAGTAGAGATCTCAATTACAGATACAAATAATACAATTACGAAAATTAAAAAAATATATAATCAAAATAAAATTTAAACCTAAAAGATTTTGAAGAGGGTTTATGATAGAAGGCCCCTTTGGGGTCTTAAATATTTTATGACATGGATCCCGGGCTCCTAGGCTCCGTGCTTAATCCGGCCCTGGGTGCGTACCCGGTCTCTGATTATAGGGGCCGTATCATCGGTCCTATTTCACTGCTAGAAAAATTATTTAAAAGTGTGAAGCTAAAAAATATCAAATTCAGTGGAATAAATTGAAAGTAGTTTTTTTTTTCTATCGCACACTTCACTTTAGTAATTTGTTCGCTGTATCTGCTTGTCATTTTTATATTATTGACTACAAAGGTCGAAGGCGGTTTTAATCGATTTAGAAATACAAGCTTAATGACAAGGACCACTTTTAGTTAAGGTATCTATGCGGGATTCATTCATTAGTTATTATAATAATTTATTGAAGATTAAAAAATAAAAATATTTTTTCTGTTAATGAACTTATGGTTCTGTAATTTATTATATAATAATATAAAACAGATTTCATGTTTCTGTTATCATATATGACTTTTGATTCGGTAGAAACTCATTAATAATATTTTCAACCTAATCTGTTGTTTATATTTATAGACTTAATATGGATAACAATGATTATAATTTAATTTATGGAATAGTTGACGATTTATTAAAGCAAGTATCAAAAACAATATATAAAAAATATTCAGATGAGATAGCAATTAGCTCTATATCAAGTTGCAACCTTGATGCAACTTTTCGACTATTAAAGGTAAATTTAAGCTAATTTAGATTAAACTTGTAATGTACACAAATTTTACATTAAACTTTTTTCTTTTAGATTGCATATCCTTGTATTGATCCTGGAGATATAAGTAGACATTCTCATATATATTCAGCGCCACCGACTCGAAGTGAGCGGGTTGTCTTTATCACTGTTGTTAATGATAATGAAGATAAAAAAATGATTAAATGGAAATTGAAGAAACGCAGATAAATTTAATATTGAATTTATACATTCATCATGTACAATTCCTATTGTGTTAAATTAAAAACATAAATAGTATATACGTATCAACATTGAATTAGGTAAATATAAGTATAAACAGTGACGCCGAACCCTATGCTTAGGTCAGGCTGCGGCTTGACCGCATTTGTAAAACGAGGTCGGGGATCAGAGGGGCTGATCTAAGCTTTGCATTTTCTTAGTATTCTAACTTCGCGTTTATTCTCACGAGGAATGCCGGACGGATTCTGTCAGATTGGTACGTGTCTGACTAATATGAATTATTCTTAATACTTGTAATTTGAGATCATAAATAAAATATAATTTAGTATAGTATATATAATATAGTATTGAGATTAATTTATTATTGTACATTAATTGGTATTTAGGTAAATATATTTTTTAACATATTTAGAAGAGCATTGGTTAAATGTAAGTATTATATTTTTAATTTAGATACACTTCTTGATTGTCTTCGTTTTAAGTTTATTAAAAAAAAAATAAAATCACAAAAGCTCAAAAGCTTTGAAGTTTGAATTTTCATTTTTATTTAAAAGTATAATGTATACGTATAAAGCATAAAGGTATACGCTTAGCATCATCTTATTTGATATCCATGTTAATTTAATTTAATTAATTATTTAATTTGAAAATAAGACGAATAGGTAATAAGATAAATCAATATTTTGCTGTAGTATTTTGTTGTTAACAAACAGTGATTATTTTAGCTATTCAGTAAATTTAATTTTTTTTTTTATGCATATAGTGAGCGAATTTTAGATGAAACAACAACAAATACACGATTTAAAATATTTATAGTATATACACCTTATTATGCACTATAATTCACTATATTACGAAATCAATAATATGGATAAATTACTTATAACTATATAATTTTGTATCTGATGTATTTTTAGATTATCAATAGATTAATTTTTGGATAAGGCATTTCTAACAGAACCTATATATTATTATTTCGGCAGTATAGGAAAAAAGCAATTTTGAAATCTAAAAGTATCTTTTTATCCTTCTCCCCAATCAGCCATGGATTAAAGTACCGTCGTCGACGCATTGACGAAGCAGGAAGTTCCTTGTGTGTGCTCAGTGAACGTATATTTTTACGACCTTTTTTGTTGCGTACTTCCCCTTAGTTCCTCCCCTAATTTACGACAGTTCTGGATAATACCCCAAGCTGACGTTTACGACCCGCATTGTGTAAGTGGATAGGGGTGCACCCTTAACATTTTATCGTGTATATTTTAACCCAGATGGTGTATTGCGCTGTTAAGCAAGAGTAGAAGTTATCAAAACCTACATATTTGTTCGTTTACCAGATGTGGTAATTACCATTATGGATTATAAAAATATTGAGCTTAAAATAAATTAAAGGGCTTAGACGAAATGCTACAAAAATAGTAAATAATATTTACAGTAATATAACTATTTAAAATAATACAGACGCACTATTATATATAATACACACACACTACATACATACATACACACATACATATATATGTTACCACCAAAGTATTGAATTTCGGCATTCTATAGAATCTCTGGTACAATTTGGCAATGTATTACATATTAATGTTATTTTATATTATGCTTAAGTAATCTTAGGTAATTCCTAGGATTTCTATAAAATATCAATGCCATGATAGGTAAAGTATGAAGTTTATAATATTATTTAATCAAAATATGTTTATTATTTATTTATTGTAGCATATAGTTGACACATGACATTCTAAATTGCATAAAATATTGTTTTTTTACATAAACATTATTTGGTTTGACATTTTGATTTGGACGTGCATTTTACAAAATCTTATCCAGTTTTTGTGAACTGTTGGGTTGATATTGTCAGTAAAGCAAATGTACTTTTCACTGAAACTTCGCCAATCGTTATTAAATTTTTTTTGGGATATTGTAAATTGAGACTTTGAGTATAAAGATTTTAAAAGCCTTTTCCTAGTCTTTAAACGGTAATACCTATCAACAGTTAGCTGAAATAATATTAAAATTATCATAAATAATAAAATATTAATGAATTAATAACCATGTATTTTATTTTTATCTCTATAACCAGTGGCGTAGCCAGGATTTTTCAAGGGGGGGGGGGGGTTAAGTATAAATTAAACTTAGTTTTTCACTGTTTTCGTTATATTTGTTGCCCAATTAAACTATTCAAAAACAAAGTTCAGTTGTGAACTTGTGAATGTACAATATTATAATTATACATTATAAATACCTCAATATGAAAATTAATAATTTTTTATTTGTTATAAAATTATACATAACAAATCAAATTCTAATAATATTATGAACACGACTATAATATTAACTATTTATCTAAATCAAACGTATTCTTCTTGTTCTTATGGCTAATTTCTTCAAATTGTCTTCCGGCTGTAATATTTTTTCTCTATAAATATTCAAAAGTGCCAAACCATTTAATCTATTTTTGCAAGTCGTGTTCCGCAAATAAGTCTTCAATTGTTTCAATGTAGAAAAAGACTTTTCACTACTAGCAGTAGTAACTGGAAGGGTTGCTAAGATTTAAAGCAATTTAAAAGTTGATGGGAAAATCGTTTCATTACATTCTTGAAGAACGTCTTGGGCATTTTTTGGAAAAACTTGTGTCAGTAGAAATTTTTGTTGCCATGTTTTTATTTCTACGACTGCAGCTAATTTACCACAATCCAAATCACCTTGGTACATTTCGATAAGTTGTTTTATATTCTCTTCATCAAATTTGCCATTTGAGGAAGGTAGAAGACATGTACAGTTTTTAAACATAGTTTTATGAGATAAAAATCGCTCATTTAGTTCATTTATAAAACTATAAATAAATAGAATAAATAGAGAAATCATAAAGTAATCTTCAGGAGAATTTCCTTGTACATTGCAACGATTTTTTTGAACATTTGTCCTACGAGGCAAAGAAATTTCAATATTTAATGCATCACATTTAGTTTTAATTTCATCAAATATACTTTTAAATTCACTTTTTGCATTTTTTCTTATATTTTCAATAATACATCTAACACTATTCGCATTCTCAATAGTATCAATCAAATTTATATTTTTAGTTTGGAGATGTTTACTTAATGGCAATACTAAATATTTTTGCTAATACAAATGTTGCTAGTTTATAATATAAATCATATATTTATTAGATGTAGAAAGGCAAGGAGGGGTTAAATACCCAACCCCTCTGTCTACGCCACTATCTATAACAACAGCTAAAATATATCGAGCATTACCACGAACTTTTTCCACATCGGGTATTGGAACTCGAACTGCAACACCCACTTCTGATGGTTTTTTTTATCTGACCACCTTTTCATTTTAACTGCTTGATTTTCAAGATTTAGTTTAGCCTTTCTTCGATTATCTATTGCATTTGCATTATTAGATGGTCGAATAGTTGGTATAGGAACTTCTAACTTTTCTATGGAAATATTAGTACTATAATTTTCAGAAAATATTAAATTACCATTTTTAAGTACATTTCTTTCAAATATTTTTAATAATTGTTCTTTATTTTCTAAATTGTCTATTACTGCTTTGGGTACATTTAAAGTACTAAGTCTGACTTTAAATTTACAGTCAAATAATTCTTCTTACTTAATATTTGTTCATTTTTATCACTAGATAAAAAAAAAAAATGTATTTTTCGATTTTTTTTTTTTTGATTTCTGTTTTATTCAGCATAAAAATGTTCCGATATTTTTAATAATATAATAAAATAATAAAATTGTCTAACTCACTAAGATACATTACAGTAGTCAGATATAATTTTGAATCATTTTTGTACATTGCCTACATGAGGTTCGACATTTTATAGAACGTCGGATTCAACACTTATATAATATGATACATATTCGAAGCACTCTTTTACTAATTGTAACTGTAGTAAAGATAGATAGATACTAATACATATATCCAAATATCCAAATCTAATAATTTATAGTTAACGTTGTAACCTATGTCAGTGGCGCATATAGAGGAAGGTTAGTGGGTTACAGCCCCCCTGATATGTTTTAAAAAAATAAAAAATTATTTTAAACGTATTTTAACGGTGCTTGATGCTTATTTAGAATTTGTGTTCAACGTCAAATCGTTTTGGGACATTCTGTAAATGAAATGTATATAAATACCTACTGTGTCTTGTTAGTAATTTTTGGATAGCAGTGGTAATTCAACTCTGTCCATAGTAGTCCCTCCCGAAAATATTTTCTGTATACGCCACTGACCTATACGGTTTTCAACGTCATAACCCTCCGTAACGCTCTATGATAAACGCCAAGTATCTGCGTCATTTTAAATGGTAAATATACACGGGATATTTTTTTGATTGATTTTTATTGTGATTTTCATAAAGATTATTATTATTTTGATAACGGAATTAAAAAAAAAAAAAAAAAAAAAAAAACTATATGATTGTTGTACTGTTCGATCTGATTCAAAACGTACGGTGAAAATAGAAAATACCTATTTCACGAGAATCACGTAAGAATGTTATCCTCCGGTTTTCAAGTAAAAAAAAAAAAGTGCAGACCTTTCGGGTAACGAAATTTATGTGGGTACTGCACACCTATACGATACTGAAATGTTTCCAACGCGCCATGAACTGCACGCGCTTCGAAACCGAGCGGGACTGCACAACAAAGATTCTTCAACACGCACATCGGTTTTTATCGAATATCATCGCGTCGGAATGCTCTGGCGCCGAATCCCGTGGCGCCTGAATCTTCGGTGGCCGTTCAGACGGGTTTCCAATCAACGACAAAAAAAAAAAAAAAAATAATGTCGTGTTTACGTATACACCGCGTACGTGTTACGTATCCGTTTCGACGACGAGAAGAAGAAGGCCTTCGATAAAGAACCCGAAATCATTATGTCCATTATGTATTGTTCACACGCACGCACGCACGCACGGGAAGTCAACCCATAGAATCCGCGTTGAAACCGTGTACGGGCCGCGTACGTGTGCGCGTACGGGGTTTTCCATTTCCGATTCGATTCGCTCGGCGGCAGCGGTAATGCATTTAGCGCGCGTCGACTGCACACGGTCGCGTTTTATAATATTTTACGACGCCGTGCCCGACGAATCGAAGGATCTGAATATCGTACATGTTTCCTTCCTCTCGTACCGTCGCAAATGCACGGTCCGCATCCGTATCGAAGCGGAGTACGTACATATCTCTGCCCTTGTTTCGGGCGACGGCACATATTCCGTTCTGCCCGTACAGACCGTAATCGGATATCGGTGAGGGGGGACGCTCAG